GCATCATCGGCGCGGTTGTCGCCGCCGCGAGGGGCAGCAGCAGCGAGCAAGGCGCGGGCGCGTCGCTGGAGAAGCACTTTGGGGGCGACGCACTGCCGCCCCTCGCGCCAGTCGAGCCCCTGTGGCTGCATAGCCTTACCCTTGTCGATGGCACCAGTCTGACCGCCAGCGAGCAGTTGGACGGCGAGGTGCCGGCGCAGCGAACTGACGCGGAGACAGCCATCGAGCACGCGGTGATCCGCACGGCTCAGACCCCCATCGACGAGTTCGTTCGCGCTCTCGACGCTGACGTCTCGTTGTCCGGTGCCACTGCGGATGATGGGCATGGAAGCGCAGCCGGAGAGGGTGAAGGTGTTTACGAGAGGATGCGTGTGCGCGAGGGTCTCGCCACGCTGTCGCTGACGCCCCCAGGGCCCCGTGTTTCACGCTTATAATACGCTAGATCGCATGGCGCAAATACGTGACGGGGGGGCCTACGGGGAGGCTGTGCGGACGGCACGACGGACAATCGACGGGCTGGGACAGGGGCGAGAGCTCCCGTCGGACACGGCTTGGCTCACGACGCTCTCGGTGATAGGAGGGATGGTCCCGGAACCCAGCGCGCGGGCCGTCAGACGGGAGGCAGAGCGGGTGGCCGAGGCGAGGGGCAACATAGATCCGGCGGGGGCCAGGTCGACTGTGACCCGCGAAATCACAGCAGGCTGCGCCGACGCCGCCATGGCAATATGGGAGACCGTCAGCCAGTGGCGCACCGCGAACGGGCAGTCGTCATGGACCGGGGGTGTGGCGGGCGACGACGAACGCGAGGAGCTGGATTGGGAGGTCTCCGACTACGAGCTGGAGGGCGAGGAGGATGACCAGCCCGACGAGATGACTGTCGACTCCGGCGAGGGCGGCCCGGCCGATGCGGCAGATGGCGAGCCACCCGACGGGGAGGACGGAAGTGGTGACGAGAGCGAGGGCCAGGATGGCTCGGGTGGGGGGGGGGGCCGGGGGCCCGCGCGGTGCCCGGGAGGGCAGGACGCCGCGGATAGCGGCGGTCAGAGCGCAACGGACAGCGAGGACCTAGTGGGGGGGGGGGATCCCCCCCTCCAGTGCACGACGTGTGTCGCTCGCCTTGAGCCGGCGCGAACACACAATAACAACCCTCCCCCTCTCCCCAAACAGGCTTCTCGGAATGTGGAGCCTGGTGGACACCCTCGGGAGGGAATGGGCAACGAGGCTTCGAGCAACCATGGGCTGGGGCCGAGACGGATTCCCGACTAGGGCAGTGGGGGAATGCCCCCTTCCTCCTCGTAGTACTCGAACGAGCCGGATTCCCCGCCCATTAGTCCTCCTCCCGTTGCTGTCATAGCTGAGTTGATGATGGCGGTGACGTCGAATTGGGTGCTGCCCGACGCGTCGAGCGAGGCCCAAGCGCCACCGGACGTCTTGGTGGCGACGGAGCAGCAGCAGCAGGCCGCAACCCGCGAGTAGTTCTTGTCCGAGCCGCCTGAGCCCTTCGCCATCGCTGCCATGTTTGTGATCGCATGGACG